GTGGGGATATCAAGCATTTTTAGAAACTAGGAATTATGCCTATTTTCTAAGTTTATGAGACATTTATACGTGAAGTGTAGATGTAGATTTTATTAGTGAAGTTGTCTTAACTTCCATTTCCCTCAATTTTCTTCTCCTGTTTATGTTGGAGTTTCACATATAAATGTAAGATTTTTACTCCACCCTTCCATTTGTCATAATGTCTACCTTGGCTACAAAAGTAGTAAACCTTATAGTTAGTCTTCATGGTGTCTACAGGTTAGTCTACAAGTCTTAACTTGTAGCACTGCGTTGTGAAAAAGAAACCAAGGTCTTTCTGCATTGATATCTGTGATGGTAAAAAGGGCTTAGTGATTAGAGTGGAATGGATTCCCTCTCTCTGCAGACCCGCAGGCTTTCTCGTTATGTTCAGGGTGAAGTCAAGATCTGTTGAAAACCAAGAAGGTGTTTCCCAATAAGGGAAAGCTTGAAGAGAATTTATTTGCCTTATCAGTATTGGTCATGATACCAGACCTTCGCTTAAGGAAAATACCTAGTAAGTAAGCAACAGAATCCTATCTTATATTCACTAATCAAGACATTTTAAAAATCAGAGATGAAGTCCATTGAAGAGAGTTTTAGAGGTTAAGGTGCTTGTTCATGATTGTGGTAACATAGATTTGAGATTTTTCTGTCCCTGGTCCACTATAGGAACTTGAATAAGCATTATGTATCAGTGTGAGTGCTCTAGTGTCTCTGTTGCTTTTTGCTGTGGAAAATGTGTCTCAGAATCTCATAGTGTGTAATTCTCACTTGAAATTAATTGGAGCAGCAAGCCAAAAAGAGAATGGTAGCAGAACTTGGAGTATACAATCCTTACCTGGTTAAAGGTGAATACACTCTGCACCTCACTTAATTATTTATAGAAAATAGAAAGACTCTGTATTTTGCAAATTGAAATACTTATATTGACATTAAAATACACTGAGAAAGGGATTCAACAGCTCTTGATTTACCAAAATTAGAGCATAATCATTTAGTCCAACAACAATTAACACCTAACTTAGGAGAGCCCTTCTGTAGAACAAGACATGATCCAGTCTTTTTGAGAGTAAGATGCAATATCCAGTCTTCCGTACGAATAGACGTAAAGAAGAGCAGCCATTAATTGTGGAAGATAATGATTGCACACTGTATAAACTTAGATAATAGTCAATTCTTTACATGAAAATTTGTCCCGTTTGTAGTTTTGTATTTTATGCTTCAATAGAAAGGGTATCAGAAATAAAAATGTAATTGCAAAGAATCAATTTTTAGCCGTGTAAAAAAAGATTAACCAATTCAGTTAATATTTTTTGTGTTGACAACAGGAATGCTTTGGCCTTAACTGTATTACTTGAGAAACGAGGATCTTAAATGTAGGATTGTACTCTGTAATATATATTAAAATCAAGAATTGCATGACTAAGGTTCTTTGAAAAATAACAATGAACTTTTAAGTAGCAAAATGTGAACATTTAATAAATGTAAATTACTTGTTTGTCCAGTCCATTTATTTAAGCATAAATTAGGTTTCATAATTTCTAATTAATAGATAATACGTTGTTTTAGTAAGTTTTAAGCACAATAGAAGAGTGTCTTTAATTGGAAAACCAAATTTTGCTACCAAAATAAAGGTCCCTTTAACCTGGAGTACTTCCAGGTTAACGTATTATGAACAAGTTCACAGTGAATACTGCAGATCAATACAGTGAAGGGTTAATTGTGAAAACTGATATGTTTTATTTTTTTATAAATCAAGAGGTTGATAAAATGTACACTTACTGTTGATCATTAGAATACAAAACTATCTGTTAAAATCAATTAACATGCATATCTGATGACTGATTGTATAAATATGAAAGTCAAATAATTGTAATCATTAACCATGGCTTCAGGTCATATGAGTTGTCAGCTCAAAAAAACTAGAGGAGAAGGAGGTTGATTTGCATATATTTAATGTGGCATGCTGTACATGTGGGAATTGAGATAAACCTTTGCTAGTAATCTGCTTGTTTTTATCTAAAAATTGACTAGGAAACTTGGGTTATAACAGTAAAGTGATCTATGTTTTGTATTGATAGCAGTTGATTGAGTAGTTTGGGATTTAACATTTTCCTGTGTTTTAATATTTTGAAATTGATTTTTTAAGAGACAATTGGAAGAAGCTGGTTAAAAAGTTATTCAGAAATACTCAAAGTTTTTACCGGGAACAGACTCAAAATTATCCTGTAACAGATTGTAAGACTGAGTTACTTTTACAGTTTTTAGTTAGACTTATCAATATGTATAGCCAACACTTTTTATTATTAAAAGAGATCAGAGATACATTAACAATCCTAATGAAATACTGTACTGAGTCACAAAACTATCTTTCTGTGTGTAGTGGACCAAACAGTTAATTTTTAATTGAATTTATCATTTGTAATAAATACAGGGAGGGATTTGTGGCAGAAGAATGAGTCTTCTGGCCTGGAAAGGATTTATGCATTATTTAAGTTCCTGAACGTAATAATCCATAGCAAGGATGGTTTGTTTTGTGGGGTTTTTTCCCCACTGATAATGCAAAGTGTTTTTTGTAACTTATAACAATTCCAAGAATCCTTGAAAAGCAAGTCAAAATATAGTGATCAGTCCCTTACATTAACTATAATTTGGTTGATCAGGTCTATCCAGCCTTTCTCTTTTCCACTGTTTACTCTTGAACATTAAAAAAAATCCTAAATTAAATCCAGTTCCTTGTATTATCACCCAAATTAACTTGACCACCCACAATGTGGCCTCCTCTGAGTAGCGCTCATCTTCTTGGAATGGGCAGAGTACAGAATGCACACAATTACTTGATTTTTGCTGTTCTTGCTCTGTGAAGTACGCCTGAATGGCAGTGCCTTTTGCTTTAGTGTTCTCTTGACAAATCTTTCTCGTGATCTGTTGCATAAAGGCACCTAAGCAATGTTTCAGGGTTGTGGGGGGAAAAGAACCAGCTGGTAGGAAGAGAGGAATGGAATCAAATTCATTTTCTGTCCTTTGCCTCGTGTGTAGGATGGAATTTGCATGTGATTGCAAGAGAGAGAAAGGTGGCAGTATCCCAGGTCGTTGGCTATTTTGTGTCCTTTCTTTAAAGATTTACTTGTCTTATTTGATCAGGGAATTATGACCATCCAACTTAGGCAGAAGTAGTTGTGTGATGAGGTGAGTTCTGTAACCACAGATTAGAAACGCAAATTAAACATGAAAGTAATTAAAAACTAAGTAAATTTTAAAAGGAAGAAAAAAAATGTGTAGGTCAGATGTCACTAACTGTAATTACGGTTTTAGTTCCACTGTAACTCACTGGTGAAAAATCACTTTGCTACCAGAGGTTCCAAAGCTGCAGATGAATGATCTGTGACTAAGTGGTTCTCCCTATAGGAGGTCTGATTCCAGAACCTCAGGATCATTCCTGAGCCATTATATGTCCCAGTAATCCTCAAAATCTTTCAATGTGTGAAAATATAGACTGCTTTTACAAGGACCCATGGCTTTTGAAAATAAGCATTTGGGGTATATATGATTTGTTTAGAGGGTGGATGGGATTCACAGATGTGGTGTGGGAATGAATTGTCATTTTCAAACAGAAATCTGTGCACTAAAAGAGAATACCTTAATAAAAAAAAGTCTCATTTGTCCCACTTCAGAAACACATACTGTCAGAAGAAAGTGCTTCATGTTCCTTAAAATATAGAAGTTTTTGTACTTTTGTGTCTTGGGGCTTGCAGTGTTATTAGCTCAAAGGGGAGGTATGCTTTTTCATGATGACTATATTTAGCCAGGAGGAATAGTCCTTTTTAAAGCAAATTGAAATGAGTGTATGAGAGCGTGAAATTATCAGCAGCGCTGGTGCACATTTACATTACTTCTACATAGTCTTTTGAATGACCACACAACAGAACAAGTACTTCATTTCCACTGTGTTGATTTTTCTTGACAAAACATGGCAGTCTATCCAAAGGAGGGTGTTTAGCCAAGATAAATATAAAATTTATGATTAAGCAAAGTGTTTCCTTATTATAATCCCTAAAGAGACTTTGAGACTTGTTAAATATAACGTGCCCAGGTAGTTTTAAGAGTAAATTATCCTTTATGCTTTTAAATGCTGAAATACAGCAACACCATCAGCAATTTGAGATATTATTTGCAGGAACAACACAGCATACTGATTTCCTTTGAAACAAGTAGCAAAATCTGTGCATATATATAATATATAACCTCAAGTTTGATGTATTCCTTCAGTTACACGGTCCAGTTTAGAGAAGAATCCATGTCAGTAGCATGGTTTTTAAAACTGTATCATTCTTTCTGTGTGTAATGTGTGTTATGGAAGAAAGCAAATAAGCCTTTTTGACGGACTGGATAAAAATTGATAACATGATTACACTTCTGGCACGTTTCTTCAACTGCTGTATTTACAGAATACCACTTTGAAGAAAGCTATGGTGACTGTCAGTATTATTCATTAAAATAAAAGGTGAATGAAAATTGATTCAGGAGAAAGTGGATTTTGACCTTTATGGTACCAGTGTTGGCTTTGGAGTGCAGTATTCTAATTAAATTGTGAATGTACTTAGATAGTGGATATTAAATGATCTCACTGTATTCTTTCAAGGACTATGAACTTCCAAAATCAAGGATAGCATTAGATGTCAGCCAAGTATTTTGTCCTTCTCGTGGTTTGTCTTTACATCTGAATTAGTGCCAGTTTGCACAGATTGTGTGTCAGCTTAAATACAAGAAACAGGCCTCAGTCTGCTTGAACTCGTTCCACCAAAGACTTCTAAAAACTTTCGGTAGTCTGCAAACTGTAGTGGTTGTTTCACATTAAGTTGCTTTGTAGAATTATAAAACGACTTTTCGTGTGCTTTCAAATAAAATGTTGTCATCTGCTAATGAATGAGATACCATCTGTAATAATTAAGGTTATTCTACTTGTTTTCCCCCTGCAGCAAAACTTCTGAAGGTTTGCAGAAGACAATAAGAGAACCACCAAGAAGGCTATTGCAGTGTGGTAAGTACTGCACCCAGGAAAAAAAATAAATATGTGAATTAAGAATGTTCTGAAGAGATTTTCATTTTTTGGGGGGGGAAATGAGCTACATAAAGGGATTACGTGTAAAAAACAGAGCAGGATGTATTGTAGCAATCATGTTAATAATTTACAAGGGAAAAACTGCACTCTTGTAAAATCTAAAATTGTATCCTTGTGCAGTGTAATCAGGAATTCACCAATAGCAGTGAAAAATATTTCTCTATCCACCAAAGATTGATCTAGTTTATATACATTTGTTTATTTAAAACTATCAGAATTTAGAAAATCATTGCAGTTTTGTAGGTTTGTCATTTGTTTTAGTGACTTATTGTTTAGGTTATTTTGCAGAATTATTTATTTGCTGATTTATTTATGTATTTCATTATTTATTTATTTGATTATTTAGTAAATTATTTATCTGATGAATTATTAATACATCTTCATGACATGCTTTAAATTATTTATAACTTAATTTTGAGTTTATTGCTTTTCGACGCTGCATTGTTACTGACTAGTTTTGATTTTTTTTTCTTGGTTCTTGAAAATTAAAGTACTAGCTCTAAGGCAAAAGTATATTCTTTGCAGAATCCATAGACAGTTTTCAATGAAGTAATTTACCATGTAGATACTAATTTTGTTTAGTTTTATATTGTTTAATACCACTTTTCTACTTATTTAGCTTTTGCTCCTGTGATTTCATAGGCGTGTCAAGATCAAATGAGTGACCTTTAAGGGGCAAAGATAAATGTTTACCTTAAAACGTGTAGAATCATAGTTTTATTTTCCCCTTAGTAACTACTCTTTAATTATTCTTAAAGTTATCTTGAGATATTTTTGTGCAAATAAAATGGATGTTTTTAAAATGAGACTCTTGATACTTGAACTAATACATTTAATTTCTAATAAGAAAATAAAATATTCACATTAATAACTCATATGGAGAGTTCTTTCTTATTGGCAAGGTTTTAAATACATGGCAAGGAATGGTGATATCTTTTAAACACATGCTGAGGGAGATATGTCTTGAGGGGGGGAAAGGTGGATAGTAGGGGTTTTTTTCCCCCATAGTGTTTTTTGCATGCACAGGAATTTATAAGCTCTGAAAATTCAATGTCTTTGTTGTTGTATGTAAACTACTTTCAGGTTCTGTGATCTCAAAGAATCATTTCTAGCGCACAACATAGTGTGAAACCTGTTTTTGTGTTCCTTTCTTTTGCCAATCAGAAAGGTCTAAAATGTCATCTTTTACTCTATAAAGGCTTAAGTAACTGTATGAAAGCAGTGTAAGGGGTCAGTTTTTTAGGCTTTACATATGAGCACCATCTCAGCAGAGTTTAAAATTGGTGCCTGGGATCAGAATTTGACACGGAGTCCATTCTAACTGAAGGGCTTTTGAGAACTGATGAACTGCCTTGTTCCTGAAGTTGCCTATTTGGCCTGAGTTCCCAATGAGTAACTCGCTGGGCAGTCGTAAGCCACCTTGCAGGAGAGGGCTGTGACTGACAGCCCTGTTTCAGAGCTGTAATGAATAGGGTACAGCAGCAGTTCCTCTGCAAAAGTACCGTGTGCATAATGTGGCCTTTATTCTGTGTTTAGTGCTTGAAATGAATTACTATATACTTTAAAGTTTTAACACAGCATGGAAAGGCTGCATTGTACATTTCAAGTTTCAGTGCTGTTGAAATACAGTAGAAATGGCCTCTGTAGACAGGTTTCACTATAGAACTTAAATTATGCATGTGTATATCCAAATTCCTTATTTTGAAATATTGAATGTATGAATATTTAATTTGTATCTTGCTTTAGTATCTTCATATGCTTGCCTTAAAGGAAGCTGTTTCCTTTGATTTATATACATGGATAAAAATGTGTGTACAGTATGTATCAATGGTTTTTCTCTCTATGGTGTTAGATGAACAGCTTTAGATAATGATAGCTACTGATTTTTATTCTGCAGCTTGCTACCATTGTATAAAACGTAAATTTGTCATATTTGTTCTATTAATTTTACTTGAATTTCAAATTCATTTGCTTTCCAGAAATATTTTCTTAATTACATGCGTTAAGAAAAGTCAAGTATGTTGCAGATCTTAATGGTGCAGTATTTTTGGTCTGTGCACAGTAACAAAGCTCTGAGTGTTATTATTTGGGGCAGAGTTCCAATCTGAAATTTACATTTCTCCTTATTTGAATGTTTTCACTGAAGCTGAGAACTCCAAGGGAGTTCCTCAACATATACTAGTTTATGCGACATGCTCTATGAAATTTAGTACACTCTTATTTCCTTTTGTAAATGAGGTCTTATTGTTGAATAAGACCTATTATAAGCAGTTACAAAGGTAAGTGCTGTCAATGCATTTTGCCACCAGTTTCTTGGAGTATGAAACACTCCCTGAAAGACGTGCTACTACTGTTATGGGGTAATATAACGCAGCTTATGTGTTGGCACTGAAAGTAGCTACTTCATAATGATGACAAGTGAAAGTACAGCCAAAGGTCACATTAAACAAGAGATTTCTTTCACACCTCATCCATTTTCTGGATGTGGTATGAAAATAGCTTTGTTCCCTACACTTCAGTATTTTTAAAAAAGAAGTTATCATTAAAGAGGTTTTTATGCCTTGTGTATTACTTAGTTGATGTTTTAGGAGATATACTGGAATTCTGGCATGCTAAATTGATGCTACAGAAGTGTTTGAAATTAGTTTAAATTTTGGTTGCAGTTAGACAACACAAGTACATTTCACTACATTTTTTGGTTTGCAGATTTGCTTAAGTACATAGCTTTTCGTTCTAGAAAGAGAACTATTGATGTGTGTCATAGTTTAACCCAGCTGGCAGCTAAGTACCTTGTAGCCACTTGCTTGCTCCCCTCTCTGCCCTGGTAGGATGGGGAGGAGAATTGAAAAACAGTAAAACCCATGAAATAAGAGTTTAATAGTTGAAATAAAGTAAACTATAATAATGATGATAATGATTATGATAATAACATAATAATAATAATAATAATAATAATGAGAAGGGGGACAGCAAAAAGAGAAGAGGAATGAAATCTGAGACAAGTAATGCACAATAAAATAGCTCAGCAGATGCTGACTAATGCCCAACCTGTCCCTAAGCAGAGATCAGTCCCTCCTGGCCAACTTCCACCAGTTTACATACTGGGCATGACATTCTAGGGTATGGAATATCCCTTTGGCCAGTTTGGGTCAGCTGTCCTGGCCATGCTCTCTCATGGCTTCTTGTGCACCTCCTTACTGGCAGAGCATGAAAAGCCCTGGGCTTAGAGTAAGTACTGCTTAACATCAACTAAAATATCAGTATCTTATCAACATTATTCACATCCTAAGTCCAAAATGCAGCACTATACCAGCTACTAAGGAAGAAAATGAACTCTATCCCAGCCAAAATCAGGGCAGTGTGCAAAGTGGTATTTATATTGATGTTGCTTGACTATGGTTTATTCTTCTTTTTGTATCAATTAAAAAGAAAGGTACAGATTTTTTTTCTGAATCAGGATCTATTCAGAAATAGGAGAAGAGTGAATCTCTCTGTGTTGACAGACAGTTTCTTAGCTCTGCTTTAAAGAAATCCTACCAGTATTGTGAAAGGTTAATTTACACTGAAGATGGCCAACCAGGATACTAAAATAAGGTGTCACTTAGGAAAAATGATTAGTAAGTATTAGATAATGAAAATGAAGCTGACTTGTTCCACAGAGGATGCCAAACAGTTAGGAGATACTGGTTGGAAAGCCTAAATCTGGTATATTATTGGTAGGTGTATTTCTGTTCTAATCTAACTCCATAGAAATCGCAGAAGCCATATTAAGCTCTTCTTCAATTTATGTCATACAGATAAAAGAATTTGCATCTCATGAGTCACATATTTCCTGTTGTATCTTTAATACAGCCATTTTTAGTATTTTTCTTGCTTCTTTCCTCTATTGGTATGCTTAGAGAGTCTGTGTGTAGGAGCTTGTTATTTCACCCGTGAGGCAAGGAGGAGTTCAAATCAATAGCAGTGTGTTGTTGACACTAAATGATGTTTCTTCTTGCCACAATAAGACTTGATTTTGTCATTCTAATGACGCTAGCTTGCTTCACAGAATAGGGATCAGCACTCTCTCAAATCAAACTTTACAAGTTTTAAAAAAAAAAATTCCTTTGAAGGAAATACTAGAGAAATACTCCAGTATTTGTAACCAAACACATGCGTTGGCTTTGTAAAATGAATATTCAAGTTCTGTTTCACTTTGTAGCGTAGGTGCTTTGCACGGCATTTTGGAAGTTTGTGTTAGAGGATGTTGGATTGATCAGAGCTGACATTGACGAAAATATGATGTTTTGAAAAGAAATGTTGCAATCATTATTTAAAATATAAGTTCACATAAAATATGGATGGTAGTAAGACCTTAGCTAAAAAACCCTAGTAAAACATAAAACCTCAAGCTAGTAGAAGTTCTGTATGTTTCACAGAAAAATCTTTGCAACACTGCCTAGAAAAGAGTATCTCTGCAAGAGGAGATAGGTACAACCAGCAAGACATTACCAGGCCTGGTCTGTGATCGCACTCTGTAGCGTGGTCAAAAAGGAATATGCAGCTGTTCTCAACTCGAACTAAGGATCCCATAGGGAGACAGGAACTGTAGAAAGATTTGGGAGGAAACAGCGTAATGATAATAAGTGATAGTATGATGATAGGAGCTTATGGGCATAATGTTGGTACCAACTGTAGGTTATTACGAAGCACGGGGTCTTTTGTATTGGACATCTGAAAGCATTAGCAGAGATGAATCATTATATTATCAAAATATCCTCCTCCTCCTTAAAACAATGTGTTTGTGCATTTATATTCATATCTTTTGTGGTAGGAAATATGTTACTGTTTTATCTGAAAGAACTTTAAAAGATAAGGCTGCATGATTAAACACTCGCATTGTAAGTTTTTAATTGTTCTGTTTGCTCTGTTTTCATTGT